GAACAAATTGATCTAATTTAGTTATGAAAACTTCTTATGCATGTGACAGTGTTTACACTACTGGTGACTTTTGCAATAAACAATGTCAGACATTTCAACAAAAAGCAGTGTGAATCACAAATGTGYCTTCATTCTATATACTGCACATGTGCTGAACTGCCAAAAATTTCAGTGGAAGCAAAAGACTGTTCTAATGTTTGTCAAAAATTAAAGTTAAATTTTTTTTMCAAAAAATGCATTACATGGTGGACAAGTTGTTTGATAGTCGTTAATATTGTAGTTTAAAATTCCCAATATTTTGTGACTTAATTTCTTTTTGTTTAGTTTATGTATTTGCATTCTTGTGAGAACTTGCCCATATTGCAAAAATTATGAAAATCATACCCTTTGATGCAGTTTCTTGATGCAAAATCTTAAACCCATCTGTTTCGCTAGAAAACAAGTGTGTTCTTTACAGGGAACATGCTCAGAGCACATTCCCAGGCCTCACAGATCAGTCAGTCCTGAGGAAACAACATTTTTTTGATTTTGCAAACTTGACTTCTCTACCTAGCTTCAGTAAAATTCTCTTTTGAATAAGATTAATGGTAATAAAAAAACCAAAACAATTTATTCATGCACTTTCAGTCTTTCAGTTTGGCAATGACTTTTGGATTCTCATGCACTTGTGCTCTGGCAAGCAGAACACATTCCTCTTTTTGGTTAACCCAGGACTACAATGCTCCAGATGAATGGAGCAAACTATTTCTTCTGTCATCAGCAAACTTTGTAGTTCTGCAATGAACCTGGGAGAACAGAGTGTGCTAAATATTAAACAGCTATCTAATCAGTTTCTGGGACACACACATGGACTCTTCTAAGTTTCTGTGCTGCAATAAGTTCTGATCTGAAAAGAAGTCCTGAAAAAAACACATTTCCCATCTGAAATATTTCTGAGAAAGTGTCTACTGCTCAAATTCCTTTTTAGTAACATGGTAAAGAARCTACCACGTGTTTATCTGAGGAAGTTTTCCCTGAGGCAGAGCAGACATAGGTCTGGGAGAGTCAGGAGACAAAGTCCTTGCATTGTGAAACAGAAGAGATGGAAGTTTGCAAAGAGATAGCTATGAATGAAAGAAAATCAGAAAAGATTAATAATTACATGTACATTAATGGAAAAGTGTGGAAATGCATGGAAAGAGTACAGGATATATAGGCAGGTAGAGAGACAGGACAAAGCTAAACACATGAAAATAAGAAGTAGAAAATTCCAGACATGGGAGCAGAACAGTAAATATTTTTCATTGTGCTATTCAGATTGACTTTTGTTCTTCAAATACTTGCTTACTTYTTTAATAAAAAACTTTTCTTCAAAAAGACAATATTTAAATTCTTGATATATGAAGTTCTCATTTGCCTAAATCCTAAATCTCAAATTTAAGATGAAAAGAAGGAAAATATGGAATTTCTGTAAATATTATGACTTAACAAAATGTTTACAGRACTCTCTTTTAAAGAAAAAGACTGAGGTTAAACCTGCTTATACATCTTTCATTCAAAGTTGGCATGTCCTCACTTCAGTTGGCATGTCCACTGGTTGAGCTCTAAGGCTCCCTATCTAGCTTCAAATGTATTCTTTGGAAGTACAATTTTACTGCTTTTATTCAATAAAATCCTATCAGTAACTAATCACCAAAGATATTTCATACCATACAGCACTATTTGTTTCACTGAAAGTGTAATATTTATTTTGAATTCACTTAAAACTTTGTCATCATGCTCTCTGGGAAATCAACTGCACACAGGCTCATGACTCCTATCCACCATAGTACTTCAGAGTGGGGGAGAAAAAAAGACATAAAAAGACAGAAGTCATTCTTTAGCAGGCAGAAAAAACTMTCTCTCCATTGTGCACACAAAATTATCTTCCCCACTTAAGAAGGACAGATTTTATGTCCATCACAGCACTTTGAGGCTACAATCATTCATGTTCTTCCAAAAGCACAGCTATTTTGTGAGAACTGTAGTGCTCAAATAGTCYATAAAATCTTTAGAAAAGACACTATTTGTTCCTTAGGACCACYTTGCAATGTAAATTATTCATGTAAATCTTGACAGAGATTCATCATGAGGCACTTGTATACTAAAATGTTGATACACATTCCCCGATAAATACAGAGTTCGATACAAAAATAATTACAGTAGCTTTGCCCAGGTTGTGTCGATGGCCTTGGAAGGATTTAAAAGATACATGGATGTGGCACCTAGGGACACGATTTAGTGACCGCATTGCTGGGTTAATGTTGGACTGATGATCTTTAGRGTCTTTCCCAACCTAAATGATTCTGTGATTCTATGTGCAAAGCAGCCCCAAGCATTCTGCAATGAAACACTAAAAATTCTTTGGGTTTCAAATGCAAAAGTAACCACCAGTACATGCTTAGCAAGACACAAACTTGGATATAGAGCAAGATGAGAGAGAAAGATGACAAGAAGACTGATGTCACCATTACCTTTTACAAAAACCACTACAGGAAGGCTCCTGGGATCTAGGATTTTAATATTTTTTAACAGAAAGACAGTAGTCATTGTTTCACATGCATGTGTGCACACAGTATTCATACATATATGTATGTGCATGTTCATATATAAATGAAAAAAATAAAGAATATATACTCTTATGGAAAGTGCATACAGCTAAGTATGAGTATGTAACTCCTTAGACCTCATTTTCCAGAACTGGAACATTTCTGTACAAAGCTTATTTACTAGTCACTGCTTAGCCTTAAGATCATTAGTGTTTGGTCACTTCAGAYGGCCTGAATATAAATGTGGAAAAAGTGTATCCATTCTTGTGCATTTGCAGAAATCTCTTAGTAGAATTTATTTCATCTATAGAGCTTTGGTACAATTTCCACCAGTTTGATCAAGTATAATGAATAAGAACAGAAAAGTTACAGGGCCTGAGGCTCTGTACCACTCAACCTGTGTATGGTTGAGTTTACGATCCTTGTGGCCCAGAATTYGTCTACAGGCAAGTTTAATGTTACAGCTCTGACAGTCCCAGAACAATGTCTTCACTTTGACATAAAAACTACCAGAAATATTTTAAAAATATGAACTGCTACACACTCTGTTATTACAATTCAGTTTGGGATTTAGATTAACCTAAAACACTTCACTCAATGACTTCTATTTTTATTTCCATCATATATACACATAGTTAAATACAGTACCATCRGCTCTCACAAACCTAATCTTAGTTTGACATCTTTTACCGAGTTAATTTACTTAATTATTTTATTTTAGAATGTGTATCTATTCAGTATATAGAGGTTARGTGAGTTTGCAAATCTCAAGCACTTTGATTAGTGAGTTGATAAAGAGAACTTAGTTAAATTTACTGCAAAATGCCTGAMTATTTTCTGCAACCACTCCAATTACAGTTATTGCTCTAAAAACATGTTTGTGGCATGAAAAGAACAATTCCCKAAAAACTACAAAAAGAAAACATTCCATAGGGATGGATACAGCCCGAAGTGAAAAGCTACTTTCAGGAAAAACAAACATGAGCCAGTCAGTGCTGTGTACGCAATACAGTTCTGGTCTTTTCTTTCTGGAGCTCACATTTTTTCATTTATCTTTTATTCTGGTGCAAAGACGTCAAATTTTYGTCCTCGTCAAAGTTCTCATTTAGTGCTGGAGAGCAGGAAAAACAAGTAATGCATAGAGTAWTTTCTCCATTAAGGACCACATCCTTGATTCTGTCTTTGTTTCTTATTTTCAAGTAAGATTTTTTTWATATATATTTTTCAAATTGAAATAGCAAGTTTTTAGGAAATYTGTAATTAGCTGAAAGTAACATAAAAGTGTGAACAGAAAACTACCAGGAATGTATTTTTTGTTGCAGTAAGACAAACTTCTGTGGCTGCACACTACTTTATGAACAAGAATTCCCTGCTGACTATAGTATCAATAAGAAGATATAGCCCCCTAATGTACGATTATCTAAATTGTTTCTGATTACATGCTGATAACATCAGGTCTTAAATATGACTCAATGTTTCAGTTTCAACAATAATTTTTAACTTGTGCAGATAATAAAGGAAGTAAAACMATATTTTAATTTTTASTGCCTTGGTGGTCTGTAAAGAATAGGTTAGAAAAAYAGAAAATACCTAAAGAGGAAAACTAACATGAAAATTAAATTCCATGTCTTAGCATCTTTGTATTCTAAAAAAATTTAAATCGGGTTTTGAAAAGGGCACTTCCGTAGTGACACACTGCTCATCCCCATCCCATCCTTCCAGGGCTTATTGCTCTGCTTGAGAAAGCAGCATACACTGATGCTTTAGCTACAGATCAAATCACTAGTGAAATTACATGTGAGCTTAGAAGAACAGGCTTGGTCTCACACTACTCCCAACAGACTCAATCTTGGAAGTCTTTTCTTAAATTCTTAATACGATTCTTTAATTCTTAATACGATTCTATTGTGATTTCATGGTAACACTTAAATTAGCCAATTTTACCTGATGCAGCTTTTGATTGGCATTTTGGGGCATTTTTGGTCTTTGACGTATGTACCCCTAAGTATTTTTTATTTGATGCCTAGTGTCCTATATGAAGCATATTTACTATAGGCKGGTTAGTTTTGGCTACTTTTCCTTCTTACTCCACTAATATCACATATTAGTGGTTAGAGACAGAGTGGCTAAAGCATCTCAGTAAAAAGGCAGTGCAAGATTTATTCAGGAATCACGGCGAGGGACATCTCTCAGCTCAAAGCTGATGACTGCTCATTGAGGCTAAAAATTTGGAGGCAGCCAGATACCAGTGGCTGGTGCACCACTCTTGCATGCAACTGGCTGCAGAAGTTGGTGAACCATAACAAGATTAAGCTGACAGGTCACAGATGCTATGCTGGACTGCTGCTCATAAGCATTGACAAAAAGAAAACACAGCAAAGAAAAATGGCTACTGAAGTACCTTTTATTATACAGCAATCTGTAATACAGGAAAGGTGTAAGTTTTAGACATTTATATACAAAATTACAGTAAATGATCTGTTGTTTAAAGAGGAAAAAGCTGCATAAACACTAGTTTTGCTTGTAAACAATATAAAATTTTTTAAAAACTTCTCAAAATTTAGAACCTTATTTAGAGAATATACAGACTTTTATTAAATGAACACACAATGGACACAATTTCTTCCGCATACTAGTATGAAAATACACTTTTGTTTTACATACTTCCTTTTATATTCTTTGGGAAACCGCCACAGCTTTTATTTGTTACTCAGCCACTCAGTGACTAACTTTCTATCAGTCCAGCTATCTGGTGCCATAACTTAAGGAGCAGAATTGTAGAAAAAGGACTTCTTTGTACAAACTCAGTAACACTTCACATATTGAGTCAAATTTTCTTTTACAGCAAGTTTTCTCAAAAAAACTGGTTTTAGAAAATTAGTAATGATGAATATTGATATTACCAGTCCTAAGGATACCAATAAGAAAAGACAYGGACTCGTAGTAATAGAGTGGAAGAGAAATAATAAAATAATTCATGCTCTAAAAACTTATCTAATTCGTAAGTAGCCCAGYCAGGGTTACTGAGAAGATTTCATGTACCAAGTATGGCAGAGGTAGTGGAAAAGGCCATTGGAATTGTACATGAGATATTGGTCCATTTTCATAATTATTTGATACAGCTAGAAACATTTGGAAATATGTTTATTTATAATATAATGTAGTACCATGACTATATGAATATATTTCTTCCTTTGGTTTATGATTTGGGGAACTTTAACTGCAGTATTTTTACSTAAAATGCTACCTAGCATTGCTGTATAGCAGCAGATAGGGGAAAAAAGAGAAAACCTCTTTAAAACGATCTATATATGGATTTCCTGCACTAGCAMAGAGCCCATTACTTTATTTGGAGATCTGCATGTAGGCACAGGTACTGCACGATTTCCTTGTAGGAGTGGCCTATAGATATTTTCCTTAAAGTACATTTAAACATTCTCTACAGATTTATAACTGTGATTTTTTTTTTTTCTAATGGAGGATTTTCTAGTCAATACAAAAGGAGTTACACAGAAAAATACTTCAGCCATGTAAGGCCACAACAGAACTTGGAAGCAGCAGCTTGTCTCATTAAGCCACTAGTATATGCTAAACAGGCATAAAGTGGTTACAAGAACTTCCGTCATCAAAATAGTTTTGGAGCATGTCTCAGAAATTATTGCCTCAGAAATATGTAATACATTATAATTAAAAAGGGTTAAAAATACAGGAAAAAATAATGCTTCCATGTCAACTGAATAAAAATAATTTATTTACAAATCCTGAGGAAAACCATAAAAACCTTTCCTTTTCAAATAAATACATGTATTAAGGGAACACTTCCACTAACTAAAAAAATAAACTTGTGCGATTAAATTAATAGTTCTTATGTACTAYCTAAAACCATAAAAACATTCAAAGGACAATAGTGCAACCATGTCAAAGCATAAAGCTGATGTWTGACATTTTACCTTTTAGGTTGAAGGGAAGGTAGGAAACCTTTTAAAGCAAAACAACAGAAAAAAATATGCATTATTTCCATGTATAAATAAATACATGCTTTAATTTCTAGATTTAAATATTTTTCCAAGTTCTTTTGCTTTAAAAYGAATTCAACATGGTGTTATGTGAACATTCAAGACATGATRGAGATAACCATCACAGGACTTCTAAAACAAGTTCCAACTGAGCTATAGCTATATCCCCATTAAGTTGTGCTTTTAAAGTCACCTAAACATTGATCATAACATTACTCCAAGGTGAAATTTTGTTAACAGTTAACAATCTTCAACCCTGAACCTTATTTMAAAAAACAACACTGATTCAAATTAAAGTTGCTTTACATGATACAGAGCTTAATAAATTGATTCAGGTTATATCATTTGGCTAAATATTGTAAAATAGATTTCAGTCATTAAAATATATGAAAAARTACTCAAAATATCAGTGGCCTGTASAGAGAGAAAAACAGGTGTGAAAGCAGGTCCCTGAACTCACATCCTTCAATCAGACTCTCTACAAGCATGGATATTCACATGGCACCCTCTGTATGATAAAAATATTAGATATGAAAGCAATTACTACACATGCACAAGTGCCGCCAATTCCAGGACGTGGAAGCCACATTTGCAAGAAATATTCCTGACGTTGTTACACTAGTGGATAGTGGAGTCACCAAGCTCCACTCTGTCATCAAGTTCTAGTTAACAGCAAGAGATGAGATAATGAGGGAGAACCATTATAAATTTCTAGGCACTTGGGAAACTGAGGCTGGGCATGAAGAGAAATGTTTATCCAGAAAACGAGGACAAGTGTGGGAACCAGAATGGTTGCAGAACTTCYGTCTTGGAGCATTTTCACAGGCTGGGTAGCCAAACCCACAGATAACCCAATCTAGGGCTGGCAAAAGTCCATCTCTGCTTGGGTCCTTGGGAGGTTGGACAAAACCACTGCCAGAAATACTTCCTGCAAGGAACTTCAAGTGATTCTCTGTACCCAGCCACTTTGCTCATGCAGGTGTGTCAAGGTTTAGGCAAATATTTCACCTCCTTCACTGCAGACCAAGACCACAGAGCTGGTCAAACACAGTAGCTCAGGACACACATATAGAACATTGACCCCCAGTCCAAGTTAACAACATTGAAGGAGAAATATTTTGGAATGTAAGTAACAGCTTATAATCATGACCTTCCTATCCTGAGAAAATGTAAATGCCTACAATGTTGAAGGCTCACACTTCAGAAACCAGGCATTGGATCATCTTCCTCTCTTCTCCTACAATGTAGGAAGAATTATCTGCAAACACATCCCAAATTAATTTTTCTTCCATTTCTTTCAATATGGGCAGAGGGAAGGGCTTGCACACAAAGAACAGAGAAGAGGCCCTCATCAATACCATCAGCTAATGTGGCTTTTCTCCTCAAATAAGCTAATTGAAGAGTTAATTTGTTTGGGTTTTTTTTTTAATAATATAGGGTTAACATCAAATAATATGTATGTGATTAGGCATATTCCTGATACATCTGAGTGTCTTTAATTCTCTGCACCAAATAAGCCTCAGAACTACAGTGAGGCCTCCTGCACAGCTTGTAATAAGATGCTATGACCCTGAAGTCTACTGCAAAGAATTAGGTAGCATATGAAGATTCTCTTAGTACTTAAAAAAAAMCCCACCAAACATATTTTGTCTTCTAAGGCTGACCTACTACACAGTGAAATAAAATGTCTTACTCATTCTGGCATTAGACTTCTCCCTCTTRTTAAAAACTTTTCTGATAAGTATAGAATATATATAGAAGTATATATAGTTGCTCTGATTAGAGGTTTGAAAGGATACCTTAAAACATTACTTTTCCTAGTTTAAACCTTTTTTTAAAAATTATGAATATCCTGTTTCTCTGAACTCCATATTTTATGTAAGAGATAACACAGTACAAGCAATATAGAGTTCAAACAGTGCAGCAGCAACAGCTGTTAGTTGTATGGGTTTTCCATCAGCTGATAAAACTTTATCCAARTTTGATTTACTGAACTAGGCTTCAGCCTGGAAATGTTTTACTAATGGAAACAGGAGACAAGTTTGCTGGCTCTGAAAAGGTCCTACCCCATTTTGACTGGATTATGACTGCTAGTTGTATTAATGCCCATAATTTTTTACTACACTATGGAACTCTTGGGAACTATTTTAAGCAATAACAACTCTGTTTATTTAGAGATGCGGACACCTAAAGCTACCACCTCCTGCTGAGTTTCTCACAACTTTTGTAAAATCAGGTGAAGGTGCTCTCATTACTGTAAGCGGTTGCTGTTCATCMCAGGTTTCTCTTTTAATGAACAGTTTGTACAAATGTTTGTGCATGTGCAGCAATTCTTTTCACCTGCAGATTCAAAACTTAATGCATTTAAAAATATCCATTAAATCAGACTACTGTGTATTATTACAATCTTTCATTTACTCACTGAATATAAGGTATTTGAAAAACAAGAGAAAAATTACAACTCCTATCACTCAGTAATACCAATCTCATATTGGATTGGTAAAACAGGCAGATATTGGATCATTTACTCATTTCAGCCATCATACATATCACAGGTGTTTCATTCTGTCTGGAATTTTGAACTGAAATAGTCCARACAAATGTTTCTTTTACCTCTGAGCTGTGCAGGATCAGATGTAAAGTTTAGTTCTCAGTTGTTAAYCAAACCTCAACACACAAAATTAAATACATTCTAACTAGCCAGCTCTTGAGAAACTACAACAGAACACCATGCACCTGCCACGGTCTTCTCCCAACAAAGACAACTCTGGTTCCTGTAAACTCAGGGATTACTTGGACCTAGGCAACCATTTAATGGTTTGAAATTTTAATAAATGTTTCATCAACTTATACTTAAGGCACTCAAAAACTAGATAAGCAGATATGATCAAAAAGAGATTAAATTAATTGAAGCCATAATTTTTTCTTTACCTGTGTGATATTACACTGGYATATTGTGATATTTTCTTTATCTGTGTGATATTGACTGGATATTACACAGTTCTGTATACATGAAATACTGAAAATAAAAGAAACATGAAGGTAGAAACAATAATATATATTACAATATTGTATGTAGCAACTACTGTAGCCTTGATTCTGAACTCATTTAATTGAATTATGTTACTTTAGAAAAGTGAAACCAGAGTCTATGGGGTGAAGTAAGTTCACAAGTATGAATGAACAGAGAGTAGAGTCTGGATTTTGAACATTATGTGTAATTTCTAAATATACAAATTTATAAATCCATGATAAAAAGAAAACATWACTGAACTATTTTGGTTTGGTTGTAGGCTTGGGCTTTTTCAAATAGACAAGTTATTTAGGTGAGAAAACTTAATTGTCATTTAAACATTGCAACAGTTTTTTGTGAGTGTTGACTTTTTGACAGGTGTCCCAGCCAGATTGGTTACTGATCTTGTATCATCTTGATTATCACTTCGTTTTCGCACTTCGCTGTAAAAAAACCATAACCAAACAGTAAATTGACTCAATTAACATAATTCTGCTCATGCTCACTCTTCCATTTCTCCCACTATATGTTGCAGAGTTTGTCACCATCTATGGCATGGCTAATACCATGGAATTTAGCACAGAATCAACAGGTCTCACAAGTTTCCAATTTGGGAGTCACTGATATTTCTGCACAAATCATAGTGATAAAAATATAATTTTTTCTAATATCTAGTAACTCCCTAATATTCTGACTTACCTTTTTTTGAGAATATTTATTTGCTTCAGTATTTTGCCATAGAAAAAGAGCATGTCCACAGCTCAAAATACAAAATTAAATAACATCAGTTTCAATCATAAATTCACTTTCACAGAAAAAATGCACATAGTTGGATGTTTTTTATAAATGCAAATTTAAAAGCTGTGCACATATGACTGATTATGGATTACAGATCACYAGTCTTTCAAAATTATATTTTAACCAAAAATGTTAGTACAATTGTAGTATTTGGCTCACACATTATCACAGAAATACTAGGGTGCTAAATKAACATAGACAGAATTTTTATCTAAATAATTTAGACATGGGGACATCAAAGAAAATATGAATAATCAGAATGGGTCATTAAAAAAATGAATAGAATATGTGTGAAAGAATTAAAAAATAATTATACATGGAATTATTACATTTCAAAATAAATTATGAAATACTTAAGAAAGAAAATCCATGTACAATTAAAATTCATATAGCAAACAGGTTTTAAAATTGTGACCTCCATAACAGAGTCCTAATTTAAATATTAATTACTGAGACAGCTTTGTAACATTTTCAAGCAGAAACGCTACTTCATTAAACTGAGAATAAATCCCATCTTGCATTTATCTATCATGATTTAACAGAGTATTCTTTTTCAATTTTTTATAATGTTGACACAATTTCAAAACTGTGTGTATCTTTGTATGTATATTCACATACGATGTTCTTTTTATAAAATGTACTCACATGTGTTTCTGCGAAAATAGAAACAAAGTTACTTACCGAGCAAGATGAAGAACTGCTTCTACAATATTAGCTCCATCTTTAGCACTTGTTTCACAGAATAATGCATTATAAGTCTGTGAGTAAAAATAAAGTGTTAAGCTAACTGATCTGAGATKGTTCCCTTGTGAACAAGTATTATTTAATTACAGGTCGTTTCCTGAATAACACAAAGAATCATGACATATTTAAATGAACAGGATTTCTTCTAGTGCTCTTCATTGTTCAACATATTCACTTTRGTACTGTGAAATAAAACAGTAATTGTTTTTTAATTATGTCTGGTTTATATTCAGTATATTCCAAATTTATAAACTGATTAAAAAACATTACAAGCTTAATGTCCAAACTCGCTCTTCTTATCCACATAACTGCAGAATAGCAGGACAGTTGCCAGGACAGGTTACTTATTCTAACTTGTTAGTTACTCAAACTACAGCAGCTGGTTATTCTAGGTTAACCAAAATCATTCTGTAAGTAACAGACATGGCATCTGCCCCAGTTTAACCAATCAATTGTGCAAGCATTCAGCCACTCAAACCCTTAATATTCTCTCTATTATTCTACAAAATACAGGATTTGTGCATCTCTTATCCACCACAAAAATACATGCAAAAAACTTGTCCACATTTCTATTTACGGCAGAGAATTCCATTTTTCCTTCTGCACATGTGGCAAGAATACGAAGTAGTCTCTTGAAGATTAAAATAYTCCATTTAGAAGCTGGACAGAACAGTGTGCTTCATATTTGAACTAGCAACTTCTATTCGGCAGCAGAAAAACTCAGTCTTCTGTGCATCCACTTTTTTACGAAAAAGACTTGAGAAGTCTTTCACAGCCAATAATGAATTTCAGCTCAGCAGACACTGAGATGTGATTCAACCCAGCAAACACCATCAAAACACAATAGTTTAATGAAAAGTAGCCATGAATCCTCAGGACTCAACTTGGAAAAATGACCAGAAAATTACTTTTGTTTACTAATTTCCTACATGGTTTTCAGATTAAAATTCCTAAGACCATTTTATATCAATGAAGTACTACTAGACCTTACCATGGCCAGCTTTTCTCCATAGTTTATAGGCACACATTTTTGCCCTTGYTCTGTAAAAGCTTGACGAAGATCTGCCTTGTTTCCCACCATCATAATTGGAATATTCTCATGAGTTGCATCCTATAAAGAGAATTTTATTTCCTTATTGCTAGAAAACTCAGAATATAAAGAAGTGGCTAACATCATGATGCCATACCAATTTCCTTGCCACAGAGTCTTGCTCACTAATACAAAAAAACTGACAAATTATGGAAGCTGTGGTTAGAGCTTTTTATAAACCACTCAAAATGTAAGCAGTCAGTTGAACTATCAGCCTGCAAAGATGTGCTTCCATTCCCATTAGCCCTGTTTCCCAGCAAGGAATTTAAAGTGTTAAGTTAATCTAATGGTTACTGCATCCAAATGCTGCATGATAAAATTACTATGGGAAAAGTAACCAACTCCTATACCATGATTAAAACAAAATGTTTTCACAGAAGATGAAATAAATATTTTGCTTGCCACTTTCCCTCCTACTAAGCACTGCCAGCATAAGAGAAAAACCCCTTGCACTAAATGCAAATTCATATTCAARTAAACAAACAAGAAGTACAAGAAGAAAGAAATACCAGAAAATTCACTTGATCTACAGCTAATCTACACAATCTAATATATTGGAATATAGACTCCCAAGGAATACTCAAGCCATCAACGAGAAGGTTATTTGAAATATGCGGCATGGTCATTTCAAAAGGAAGTGAATGGGAAGAGTATGACTACACAACATCCTCTAACACAAAAAGATCTATCATTGAATTCTAACCGAGTATGTCAGGATACAATTTAGGATTTCCGTGTACCTTTTATTTCTGTGAAAGCCTGTAGTCTGGATAATTACAATTTACAATTGATAAAATTTAATAAATAATAAGGCTAACAATGCAGTGAAACATAGCTTATACGGTGTATATATTTAAGGGTCTTACCTCAATCATATCCACCCATTCTCTCACATTAATAAAGCTTTTTTCACATGTTACATCATACAGTAGTAAGACACCATCTGCTCTTCTGAAGTATGATTTAGCAATACTTCGAAATCTTCCAGAAAAAGAAAAAAAGATTTGTATAATACCATATTACCAATAAATATTTCAGTTCAACATCATTAAGAACACAGCATTATTTAATTTCACTAGTGAGTACAATTCTTTCCAACATGATGAGTTCTTGAAAACTGCTGATGCAGGCCTACCAATGCYCCTTAAGGATTAACAGAATTTTGTCCTAAACCACAATCAGTACTTTGTGTATCAAAACAATCTACCGTGTTTCTTTTAGAGATAATCTTGTCTCAAATTGCACCACTCGAGGTTTGCATTAGGTAATAGGAAAAATTTCTTCTCTGAAAGAGTGGTCAGGCATTGGAATGAGCAATCCAGGGAAGTGGCACAATCTCGATTCCTGAAGYGTTCAATAGGCATGTGTGGATGGGGCATGTGGGACGTGTTTTAGTCRTAAACTCAGCAGTCCTGGGTTAAAAGCTGGACTCCATGAGCTTAGAGGTCTATTCCAGCTTCAATGGTTCTATCATTCYACAATTCACCCACATGTAACTTCCTAAACAGATTGGCTTACTTGATTTCCTTTGAAAAAGACAGGAAACCAGTAGAACTCTTCCAGGACTTCATTATCAATTACAGTCATTTTTGTCCCAAACTTTAYGCAATCTGCTTACCAAGGTACAGTAGCTAGGTATTTACATTGGATATTAAAATATTCTTCAYAAATGTATTCTGTGGGAGGCATATGATTGGACCCCTACCTAGTTACTTCATACAATCATGCACTCAGATAAAAGTAAACACATACAGCCCAACACAAACCTTGATCAATTAACATATTAAACTTCGACGGTGCTGGACTGACCTCTTAATAAACSTCAAAGGCTGGCAGTAAAGAAGTAATGGCCTTCAAGAAAAGATGTCATAGGAGTTTCAGTGAAATTTACACAAGAATTTGAAGGCTCTTAGATACATATCCACCAATCTGCAAAGATACTTTTGGCAGAATTCTAAAGTCTTTGGCAAGACATTTCTATATACAAAATAAATACRATGCAAATCAGGACCATGATTTTCAAGGAAAAGAATAGAAGGGGAGGAAGGGAATCTCTAAGAAAAAGCCTGCTTAAAAATAGAGATGTATAAGCACAAAGAAAGCTAGAGATTAAAATTACAAGAAACTATGTGCACCTACTCCATCTTTCTGTATCGCCAAAGAGGGACACTTGAACTTTATAAATTCATTCTGTGGTGAACCTCAACAATTTCTCTCTATACAGAGAAAAGATCACCGCAAGCATTACCAATACTAACATATAAACACTCCACCTGTCTTGGGGTATCAATGGAGAAAAACTGGGTATGTTTATAGATATTTACATAAGGATCATACAATTAATGGATTTTTCACCTAGATGAAAAGAGTCAAAMAACTTTTACAAAAAAAAGGATTCAAATTAGGTAAGTGCAGAGGCTCACTAACCTCTCCTGCCCAGCTGTGTCCCAGAGTTGTAACACTGTAGGTTCTCCATCCACAATTAGCCTTTTCATTTGAAAATCCACACCTGAAAAGAATCATGTGTACAATCTAATGAAAACCATCAATAATCTTAAAAAAACCACAGAAAATTAAAATATATGGGCTATATACAACCGTTTTTTCCAAAATTAATCTCTTTTAATAGGCTATGAGATTTCAATCAGTCATGCACATATTTTTGAACTGCAAAAATCACATTAATGTATTTAATTTGTCTTTTCCCAGAAGCATTGATAAAATTTGCATTCTGAAAAACAACTAAGGTCTCTCTCTGCTTTATTTTGCTAAACAGTTTTACCTGTGAAAGAAGTGAAAATGTTTTCAAAACATTGTTTCAGACACCAAGGAAGAAAGAGATGAATTAGAACAAAACTCCTGACTCAGAGGTAATAAAACAAATATATAACTACAATTTGGTTAGAAGGCAAAATTCAGTTTTTAGAATCATTAGGACAAGTTTGTTAGCTGACAGCTATACTAATATACACAAGAAATCAGTYAGAAATCTTTCCAGCTGTATTTAAACCAAAGGTTCAATAACCCTTTGAAGAAATCGTGACAAAAAATAGTATGAAAGACATCAAGGATAGTAGGAAATACTAAGGAAAGAAGGAAGARTTGAAAAAATAAGAAATGAAAAATGCAAAGGTTCATCACACACTGAAATATTCCACACACTGAAATTCTTTTTCTGTCACTTTGTGTTGTTCAGAAAGAGGCTTGTAAAGAAAAACTGAATTAGACCAGTACCCTATTGCCCACTACAAACAGCTGTTACAACTAAGCTTTAACACTCCATTAGATATCACAGCCTAAGAWACTTGCTGTATGGAAACCCTAGCAAGCAGTCACAAAGGGAAGCTTTTCGTCCACTTTACTGCAAAATAACAATGGAATTCATTCCAGTATTTTAAGAAGAACACCAACTATACCCAGAGTTGCACTGGTGTTGCCTCGAAATTCATTCTTGCAAAGTCTCATTAGGAAACTGGATTTTCCCACTGCTGCATCTCCAGCAAGAACAATCTTATAAGCCTTCTCTGAACTGGGGTATTTTGGAGCACATTCAGTTGCATCTGACTGAAAATAAAAAGAATCCCTCTATAACAACTCATTTAAAAAAATCTCTGCATCACTGTTTTCCATTTTCCCCTGAAAACTGGTTACCTGAGGGGTGAGAGCAGATATGTATTTCCTTGTTGAAGCAACGGAGCTGCTTCGACTAACTGGTCGTGAGGGTTTCCAGTCTAAAACTACAGTGCTGTTAGCAGGACTGTACTCTTCTTCATCCCTGATTTCTGGAACCTGGAAGTGTAAGTTAGTTCTCTGGTGAGAAAAGTATGTTTTTTTGCAAAGGCACAGCTAATACTGATCAAAACATTTTAACAGTTTGGATTAAATAGAGATAAATGACTAGATATAGCTGTGCAATTCTGATCAGAATAATCTGTGATTATTCTGCTCTTATTCATTTTTGCTGTTTATTATAATCTACATTTTGTCTTTTAACATGTTTACTGTTGGGCATACATTCTTTCAGTACTCTTTCTGATAAAGTAAATTAATGTCTATACAAAAATTTCAGCTTAAAACATAGCTATAATATACACTTTATTTCAAATCGTATTTTGCAAACATTAAGAACTTCCCCAGACGCATCACTCTCTATGCTATTACTACTCAAACTAAATTAAGTACAGCGCAGCTGTAATCAACACTACTCAGAGCAAAGTCTCCACAGACATTAATGTCTACTAAATGCATAGCAAATTATTTGCCTTATAAAACGTGCTGCTGTGCTTGATACTAGCCTTGCTATCAGTAACTCTTTCAATAGGAACAATACCAACAATAGAAATGGACACAGTAACACCTTCTTAGATTTTTTAATTCTCCGAGACTGCGTGGAAGTCAATGTGCACATTGACAGTATTCTTACTCATACATTCTTTTTTCTCCACTGCCACAGCATAGTAAAAGGAAGTGAATGGGAACCTATTTGACATCTATCTGATTTTTGTCATTAGAAAAGGAGCCACTTTCTGTATATTGTTTAACAACCTTCAAATATCATATAAACTTAAAACATGAAGTTATTACGTCAAAAAGTATCCAAAAATGTAAAAAAAAGAGAACTAACTATTTACACATTCTCAAAAAAAAWTTCACTAATTTCATTTAAATGCATATGGCCCAAATACTTAGTTTTAACTGGCTGGCAGACAAAGATCCATTTTRTTTTAAAAACAGGAAGCTAATTTTCTCTCCAGTTAAAGATCTTTCTCAGAGAACGAGTAAATCTGGCACTTACATCTGTATCAGAAGCATCACCACCAAAGCCTTCTTGCATACAGTTTGACCTTTGATAAATCCTTTGATGCCTGTATTCCACTTCTGAATCATAYTCATTTGAATCTCTCAGGGTAGACAAACCACTGTCAAAACAGCTCTCAGGTAAGCTGTCAACTTCACAGTTTATCCTTTGCATAGGATCACAAAGGGCTAAAGAATCGTAATCTTCATCGACACAAGATGAATGAGACGACCTAGTAGGAAAATATTGGAGGGGAAAAAAAAAATTATTTCACAATTGTCCTTTCCAATAAAATCTGAGCCCATTTGGAATAGTCAGTTCTTAGAAATGCTAATATTAAGACACATGTAAAGGCTTTATAAAGGATTTCTGTCTCAATCATATGTCTTTCTGAATCATATGCCTTGGGATGCTCAGATTCCATTATTTAATTATTTAATCTATGCTACTGATKATGACTTTCTAACTCTCAGTAATTACGCCTATTCTTTAATTTAAAAAAGCCCATTTAAAAATCATTCAGGAAGGTGATGCACTATGAAGACATCAAAAGCAGAAAATGATGTATGATGGGTTAGCAAATTTTGGCCTATTCTAAGACACAAAATGACCTTGACATACTGTATCTCATTTAAATGAATGCATTTGCTCACAGAGGCACACATGCCAACAAGGAGCAGCCATAAATATAAAAAGGGAGTAGCCAAGTTCAGGAGATCAGTTCTGTGGAAAAGTCACTGAAAAATTTTYTTACAGTTTGGTAGGCTATGCAAAAGCTAAAGTTTTACACATAAKTCCTCTCTTTTCCCTCAAACTTTCTTCAAAAGTCTTTTTCTTTCCTCCTGGATGTGGTAATAAATAAAAATACTTTAATGAATGCAGCAATGCCAGTATGGCTTACAGCAAAAAAAATAGGGCTTATTTRTGTAAACAAAAATACAGAAAAGAAAGGTTAATTCAGTGAATCTTAAAATAAATGATCTGATAAAAAGGTTTACAATGGCTACAATAATTATTGTGCTCCRGCAGTAAGACAGGGACAGGCACCAACTAAAGCGAGGCAGAGAAGGTCTCCGAGTCGCAGYAGAGAGCAAGTCTGGCTTAGCCCTGTTGGGAATGGATGTGATGAACTGAGCTGCTGAAATAGACAAGGTCATCATCAATCCTTTTAATAACAGCTTGCTCCCAGAGGGGCTCCCTGAGTGATGGCACAACAAAGGAGAGTACACTGGAGAAAATCACCAAATTTTAAAGTTCTTACCAAGTCTAATTCCTCCCTACAACTGGCCAAATGGGGGTGACAGACGCATCTTTGTCCCATTCACAACACTTAGAACCATCTAATTTACACCCTTTCAGGCTAATGAATAATCACATAAATGCATGGGATCATTGCAGTAGAATATCAAAGCACACATGYTCTTTGTATTCATGCATCTACTAGCCTATACTAAATCACTAAAATACTGAGGAAGAGTGCATGCTATAACAAAGTTAAGCTTGTCAGACATTCCCTGAAATAAAGCTCTTTAGTAGCCAATTTTCAGCTCCACTGAACCATGAACTCAATGCTGGGAATTTCATATATGCTTAAAGCTATTTGAACCTTACAGATAAAAAAAAAAAAAAAAAAAGAAAAATCATACCTTTTAGGACAAATTGCTTAAAACATGTTAGTATGCAAACCAGTACATCTTAATGCTGACCTGATGTCAGGAGACAAAGCACTGGAAACAAACAGGTTTTGGGACATTCACATCTCTTTCTGTCTTTGGATACTATCAAGTATCAAAATCAAGTCACACCTATTAGGAGTAAGCTTTTTTCCTACCACACAAACTTTTTTCTACAGTAGCTTGTATTTCTCACTTTTGTGGAAATGCAAGGATTGCACCATGTGGCAGGCACTAATAAATATTCATAGAAAATGACATCACTAAGTCTCCAGAGAGGTTTTAGTTCTCTCAGAAAATTACACAATGTAATATACAACTTAGAGTGAGTGCCTCTAAAAATGTGCAGAGGGTCCAACAGCAGAGATTTGGGTTTATGTGCATTCAGAAGAAGGAAACAGCTTGTGACAAGCAAAACTTTACAGCCAGCAAACACATGTCACATGGAGAGTGACATAATCTCAAAATAAGAGCAACACTACTGAACAAAAGGGGAYATTACAAGTGTGAAGCAGAAACCAGTTTAATCCCTATCCAAGATATTGTTCTCTCATCAAAATATAAAACACAGACCACTAAGACCTCCATCAGAGATCTCTTTATGGTTTGGAGTATCATTGAAAGAAAAAGACAAAATAATCTATCCATTGAGTAAGGACACACATTTTTACTGACAGATATCTAAGTGTTTAAAAAGCTATGTGAGAAAGCATAGCATGATTGCTAGCACTCCGGGTTGACTTCAATGCCCAGGGTCTTCAGTGAGTCTCTGTAATGATATGAGGAAGTTCTGATCAATGACCTGTATCCAGTAAGTAGAAAAACAAATTCCTGTGACCATTTAATATTTGCACATAGATAACTTACTGGTTTTGTACTCTTACCCAAGTAAGAGTACAATATCCAAGTGCATTCACTACTCTTGCAAGTCAGTGTGTGTCAAGAAAAGGGAAAMAAGGGACAAAAGGCAGACAAGCTGAACATAAAAACAAAAACATTTTCTTTCTCAAGTACACAGTAAGGCTAACAGAAGCCCTCAAAAGAGTTTTATAGTTTCTTGAACACAAAGAGAATGAGAATCAAACTAGAATCAAAACAGTCCAAGACCAAACAAGAGGCTGTCTGAACTCTCCATAAGTTTATGGCTTACATTGGAAAGGGTTTTCCTGAGCTTTATGAAGTCGTTGAAAAGATTCCTATKGATTTCACTATACTTTGGATGACAATAGTCACACATTACTTCTAAATCAAACAGAACTATTCTCTCTTACTTAACAGTAATATGCTCTTCTAAGACAAGTCATTTTCAAAGTAACAAAATCAAGCCTTGCTTACCTGTCATAACGTGGGTTTAAAGGAGAATGTTCACCATTAAATTTAGGACTGCTTCTGGAAATGGTACTTCCTGGTGAGGTGTTTGCTAGCCGCTGCAAGAGATACGTAACAAATGCATATTAACTTCGTCAAACACAGTGCAAGTATTGAGACTTGCTGAGAAAAAAACAAGTTGCATGTATTTAATGTATATTTTTATACATTATAGATATACGTATTTAGTTACTTACATTTAGTTAAACTTCATTCTTCAGATATGAACACGGGTCTAAAGGCCTATTATAGCATCTAAAGGCCTATCTATAGCATTTAGGCTTCACCACTGCCTTTATACTGAACCTACTAGACACATTCAACCACAAAAGACARCAGAAATTCCAAGTGWATGATTTCATTGACTATGYCTGAAGACTCTGAAATGCTAAGCTTTGAAAAATAGTATTCAGAACATGACATGATGACTACTTAAAAGGAAACAGAAGTGTCACTGGCTGAGCCACTTTCAGTAAAGCTGCCTCCTAGCTCTTGAGATATATAAAGAAAGATCCCAACTGATAGCATGTGATAAAGTGTTTTGTACATTCTGCTGTGCTTCCATGCATTTATTCACGGAGAACAGCTCCCTCTGTCTTCTCTGTAATATGCTCATTCATATTTCCAGGCATGACAGTAGGAAAGGGTATCTATTGTTGCATCTGTAGTGAACCTCTGCTAACTTGTATCAGTAAAAAGCATGCATGTTTATTGGCATGGAATACCAGATATAGGCAGYGACCTGAGCCCTAGTTTACTCCTTCCTGACCAGTATTGTCCTTGTGGACCCATTATTCTGGTCCCATCCTTCTAAAAAATCTATCTGCTTTCCCCATGCCACCCAATCATTAGTTTTAAGAATTCAACAGGTATCACATGATAGCAAAATGTCAGTGTAGTGTAGATTTTTCATTACTTTTAAGCCTTCCTTTCTCTAGACTGGAGGATGTCAGGTGACATTTGTTACAAGAGACTCCCATGGAGTTCTGAAAGCCCAAAAGGGTCTGAAAAAGGTCTCTACCACTAATCCCTGCTATTCATTTTCCCAGTGACTTGYCGGGACAAAAGTTAGGCTAAGACCTTGCCACTAAAAAAGGGTAGTTTTCTCAGTGTGTTATCAACGGTAGGGCACTCCCACATACACAGTACAAACACATTTTCTTAGTACAAGAGAAACTGATGATTTATTCACCTCATTAAATATAACAGCATATTAAAAAAATTATTACTTTCCAAAGCACCTCAGAAAGCACTTGTGCTCTAACAAAGCTTCCATTATTTCATAAAAGATAAGCAAAATCTAATAAAATTCAACTACACCAGAGTATTCCTACAGTGAGTCCACTAAATAAAACTTTTTCTGAGTACATACTGAAGTACTAATTTAAATTTCTTACATTTTCTAAGGCAACATAACAAAACCASAAATACATACCAATGATCTGTTGTACTTGCTGAAACTGTTTTCAAGTGCACTTCTTAAACCATCGTTGCTGTCATGTAACTTTCTATTAGCTGATCTAACAAGGAAACACAGTTTAATTTACAGGATTAAAGAAAACACAAAAAACTATGTAACTTCTCATAAAGAAAAAAAAATTTAAAATACTTCTAAAACACCTCTTTTTCTTTATGTAAACACTAAAGAGTAACATGAAACTAGAAACACACTGACAGATACTCAAACAAATTATCTGAAGAAAACACGGAATTTTAGCCTTCAGTGGCAGCCGGGAAGCCTGTTTTCACTTCTGCAGCATTGTCTCTGGTCAGCTGAGTGGAAAAAAGACACTGTAGGAATGGTCACAAAATAAAAACCCCACAACAGAACTAGTCCAGCCATTTCTGTACAAAATGACTACCCTTTAAATATTGCTGAAGTGATTTTAARGACAAATATGATTCATCTGCTTGAAAGAAAGAATTTGTTTAGGATAAGGAAATAAACTAAAGATACAAAATAGTCTATTCTGTTGTGACCCTCCCTGAAAGAAAAAATTTGTGCACCTATTGTATCACACTGCACACAGTACCTTACAGACAACAATAAGATATGGATTTAATGGAGAAGCAAAGCTAATAAAAAAAGGAGCCAGGTGGTAATTTTTATGATAGCATGGATGGACTCAAATCATATTTAGCTTATCAGAAAGAAATGGAAGTTAGTGGGGCTGAGAAGAAATGAAAAGAAACCAACTGAAATGTCAGTGGGTCAGTACCATAGTAAAGTTAATATAACAGTAACATTTATGAAAATTGAGAACAGACCCTTCTATGATAATTGTGGCCATTTCAGTGTTTTCACTTGGTACTTTTTCCCAAATTTCAACTCAGTCTTTTTCATATAAAAACAGTTATCCCAAATATGTTGGATCAAAGTTTGATAATAAAAAAAATGAATGACTAAAAACTTACTGAAGTATTTCAATTTGTCTTTCCAGATTATCYCTGTCTTCAGTATACTCTCGAATAATTTCTAGGTCTCTGGAAAAAAAAAACCAAAAAAACACCAAACTTAAGTGAACTTATACTTAACAGGATATTTTTCTTGTATTTTTACAATATTGCTTTTGTTGGGGTTTATATTTATGCTGAAATATGYTGACAGCAGTTTTATGCAAAGTTAAGATCACTTAGTAATTTCATTAATCTCTGCCCTTACAACTCAACAATRACTGTGAATGAAAAATAAAAGATGTACAAAATAACCATAGGGACTACCTCCTTTTTCCTTTAAATACAATTAGTATTACCTGAAATTAACCACACAATGAAACTGTCTTTTATGCTCCTTTAAATGAGTAACTAGAACTAGCCTTCATTCACTTTAGGAAAAAAATGGCTGAGATTGACATAAAAGTCTTCTAAAACTATTCTCCCAATGAGAGAATGTTAATGCAAGCCATGGAAAAAAAAATGCCTAATGCTGTACCAGTATTTTATTCCTAATAAAGTTCCACTAAAGTCAATGGACATTCTTGCAAGATTGTGGGAGTTTGCATCATATCCAGAACTTTCTCTTTCAGAAACCTCACAAGGAATGTGAACAGTAGTGATGGCATGGTGTCAAACATGTACCTGTCCTATAAGGCATAATTTAGAAAATAACAGTTCCCAACTGCMTACATAATAACTACATCAGAAAACAGATTTTTTTCTTTGGTGAAAATATTATCATGTAAAAGCACCTTACCTCTCAGTGTTCAAAGATTGATCTGCATACTCGCTTTTCAARCTATCTAATTCACTCTGTAGAAAAGCTATATTTGTCTGTGCTTCTAAAAGATCTTTCTTAAGTCTCTGGTTTTCCTTCAAAAAAGAAAGTTATTAGATGTTAACTGTCATAGTCATCTCCACAAAATGGTGATATATTATAATAGTAGAATAAAAAACACCRAAGTTAAATAAACATGAAACACTATAACATTAGGCATTGAGGGGAAAAGAGAATGAAAGAACACTAAATCAACAAAGAAGTCAGAAAATTAACATGCAAGAACTTCTCAATTTTTTTTCATTGGATTACACAAAAAGGGGACAATGTCATCACAAGCCATTTCTAAATGTCGTGCATAGAATGTGTATACATTTTAAGAGGTACTTTTCCATCTTAAAAGAACCTCATACACCAACCAATAACTTTAGAAGTTTACTTTGTAGCTTATTACTATTACATGTAAAAAAAACCCAAAACCCCAAACCAAAAAAACCACTGCAAATCCCCACAACTATAACAATCTGTATTGCAGCAAGTAACACTGAGGGTAAACTAATATGTTAATGATCATAATCTCTTACCAGTAACATATCATGTATTCTTTTTTTCAGTTCAACTACATCTTCCTTGTGATTTACATATTTGGATTGCTCCTCCAGCTTGAAGGATTTTAAAAAAATGCACAATTAATTTATTTGATTGCTCTGATCCAAAATAAAARACTTATGGAAATCACAATAAATAAGCCTTAAAAGATTGTACAGTTATCAAAGCTTTGAAAACTTAAGAGCATCCCCAAACGTATCAGTAGACATTATTTCAAAGATTACTGGYTTTCTAAAAAATTAATGAGCATGTTGCACCCTTTAGGTATAAATTATTCATAACTAGTGACGCAGAAGCCAGCTGTTAAGATATAAACAGGTGTATCCCAGTAACTTAAATAAAAGTTTATAAAAAATTATTACTAACTCAGCTACGTAGTATTTGTACCAGAAGCTCTCATGATTCTTGGGAGAAATTTCCATTTCTGTAAATGTTCTTTTACGTGCAATTTAAATACAAAMATTAAAAAATATATTCACACTGCTTGATACAATTCTGGTAAAACTTACAGCAAAAACTAATGTCAAAATAAACTCAAATTACAAAATATCCCAAAATATCATTCATAGCTGAGATTTCAGTTTACCTTACTACTAGGTATCAAATTAAAAGATCAGATTGCAGTTGGGTTCTAGAAAGCATTATACTACATTTATAATACATATAAAAATATATTACTATMTCTGGGTTGCCAACTGCATCCCTACCTATAAACTACAAATACYTAACGGCACTGTCTTGGAGTATTCCAATGGACCAAATGCAAGACTAGGTAATTGCAACATTAACAACCYGAGAGCTAGAAAATTGTTAGGCCACAGAATTCAGGTAACAGTTGCTCCCTTTTCTAAGTACTTCAACAAATTACACAGCATGAACACAAAAGCACAGAATGACAACAACCTAAAAATTATCTGCAATGCTATTTATTAATACACATTAAATTAGAAACCTACAATGATGATTATTCATCTTGAGGGAGGTATTGCATAAGGTCAAAATCTCTTAAAACATGTCAAAAACTTACCAGACTTCAATTCACTTACCTTTTTAAGTTTTTTTATCGTCACCTGAAGATCCCCAACTTCAGTATCATACTGGCGCTTCAGCTCATTCAGTGCTTCTTCAGCTTTTTGCTTCTCCTGCAATATTTTCAATCTCATTAGAAGCTGAGACAGGTTTCAAATCTTTATTAAAAATACATCCATCAGTTTGGAAAGCACACACTTTTCCCTTAGACAAATGTATCTTTCCATTCTGCCAACCTGTCMCTTCCTTAAGTTCCACAGATTTCTGATTCTGTGGTTGCAGTCCACTTATAAAACAGTCATAGAAATGGTGGTGTGGAGGCAAAGACATAGGTCCATTCAGTGTTTTTTACTCAYAATTCCTGTGCTAAACATTCTCAATGTCAGTTACTTTTTCACTTCTGTTTTAATTTTTTTTTGTGTGCAAGCGTTGGAACATTACAGGCCAATGTCAGCAAAAAAGAAAGTAGAAAACAGCTCCTCTAGTTTCAAGTGGTAGTGTCCCAGGTACAGAGACAAGGGGGTGGATTCACTGTCTGTTCAATAACACCCACAACACCAATGGTGTGGTCACAGCAGGAAAAACGCCAGGAGTGGAAAAGCARGCAGTGCCATTTTTTACTGGGGCACACGTCAGGGTGTATGCTGGACTGGAGTCAGGACTGCACAGCTGTTGGGCAATGGGATAGAGACATTGTTGCTGCTGCTGGAGCTGTCAGAGCCGCTGTCCTGCAGCTGCTGCCACAGCCGCGGGGAGAGCACCTGCACTGCTGCAATCATCAGAGAGAGAACACCCCTGCACCTGCACTGCTGCAACAATCGTGGCCCCAGAGAGAGAGAGAGAGTGCAAGAGAGACTGCAGAAATACTGCCACCACCACTGGAGTCAGCATTTTGGCAGCACAACTCCTTATTCAAACTAGCTTCCCAGGTTTTGGKCTGTCCCTGCTTTCCATAACTTCAGGTCCAGGGGAGGAGGTTGAGCTGCGGGAGCCTCCAGGCCATGCTGCCTTTGTTTTCCTCGGTGGGGTGTTACATGCAAGCAACATCAGAATGGTCACCATTTTGCCTGTGTTTAGAGACTGTGCCAAGTACTGCCCATGGGGACGTTCAGTGGTGAATGCCTTTTTGTGAGTAAAATTCTCTCTCTCTTTCCCTTGTATGCTCTTTATTATTAATATTGTGATAACTGCAGTTTTTCAGTAAACTGCAATTCAAACTTACAATCTCTCTTAGTTTCCTCTATYACTGGAATGGGTAGAGTGTGTAAAAGGTGGCAACGGGAGTCAGTTTAATCTTCTCACTGTTTTAAACCAGCACAGGTATTCAGTCTGAATATCAATATCCGAATATGATACTYGGTGTGAGTATCAAACCAAGTACAGTGTTCTGAAATTTATTTTTATCAAAACAGATTCTGGAAAGATGCTACATCAACCACAATGAGAAGAATAGTGTGTGGTGTGCTATAGATTAGTTTGCATTTAACACACTCCAGTGACTCCCCAGGGACTTCAGYTTCATGACACAAGAAATCAGAATGCAGCAGTGACAAGTGGTGCTAACAAAACAGGCTGAGTTTACACACGGACCAAGCAGGTATGGACTTTGCTTAGAATTCAGTGCTTCCCTGCAGGTGATGCTGACATTCATGTGTTAAAACAATAATCAAAGTAATCAATTTAAGCTTGATTCCCCTTCTGCTGCCAACTACATAGGACTCCTMAGTATTGTTTGGTAACTATTTGCTTCCCTTGAAGAAACAAAATACAGGATAGGTGGCTCATGCAGAGGCRGGTGTCCCGGTGGCATGAGTGAGATCACTCTGACAAACAATAGCCTTGATTACAGGCATTAAGATTAATGGCTTAGTACATTCCCACAAAGTAAATAACTTAACATTTACTCTCAGGGCGTTTTAGTAGGTGCGGTATGTAGAGCTAGGAGCTACAAGGAACACTGGAGAGTGAATATTAAAAAAGCCTTGTGAGAAACAACTTAGCATCCCATCTTTCATACCTATAGCTAGATGCAGTGTATGAGAACACAGACTAGATGCTGATAATACATGGAAGATGTACTTTTGCATAATGCTGGTACATAACTGTAGATGTTCTCAGAGTGAGCAAGCACACACATCCCAATCATCTTTTTAAAATAGTGGAAAAGAGTATTCAAGGCTTTTTCAGTGATTTATCATTTTTTGAGAATAAAAATTTTTTTCAGAGAAAAAATTGTTTTCTAAACATTAACTACTTAGTTTTTCTGGAAATGAAAATGTACCTCTACTGAGAGCTGCACTGCCACTAGTTAAATATATTAAACCACAACTTTTATTCAGGAGTGATACCTTTAACCTTTTTATGCCATTTTATTTTGTTCCTAAGAAAACAACAGTCATTTATGGTGTGGGAGAGCTGTTTTCTCTTGTATAGAAAAAAACAATATCTGAAGCAAATCTATCAGAACACCATTTACCTTCACATATCATTTAGTGTGAGCCCTACTTATAATCAGCAAGTTGGCAGAGAGCACTTTGTTGCATCTGCTTCTGCAAATACTCTGGTGAAAGAACCCATAGCAAACATATAGATGTTCAGTATACTGTGTGTCCTAGAGAGCAATAATTGTGCCCTTAGTATATGTTTTAATCAATGYATTTCTTATGTCCACATTAGAACACTTTCACAAACTGTGATTCTTATGCCCATTATGAAGTTTGGCTTATTGTAAATAAATGAAGCAGCAATTCAAAATTAAGAGCAGACAGCTGGTCTTGCTCCTTTGAATTATGCAGTGCCATGTGGTTCTAATTTATCTTTCCCTGGGTAAGAAGAAGAGGATTTTTATACTTTTTAATATAGACTACAACTAGGTTGAAAAAACTGCTAAAACCTGAGCAGATTGAATTTCCCATCAAGTTTGGGAGACCCAGATGCTGACACCACTCTTRCTAAAATTTCCCTCTCTTAAGTCTGTAACTCTCTAAAATGTAGTTGMAAGAGAATGGATGAAAGAAAGATCATTATTCCAGGCAGATATACAAAGGMGAACTAAATAACCTAAGCATCAAATTCTACATAAATTCATTTACTAGGAGAATTAGATTCCATATTTTGTTTTGAAATATAATTTTATCCAAATCTGTTTCCAAAATGGTCTCAGGAAACTCTTCTTGGTCAGTATGTTCCCACAGAAGGGAAAGACTTTTTTTTCTCGGTTTATTACACCTAAGCAGATATGCCTCTTTAGGAAAGCATTAAGATCATTCACTGTTTCACTCATGGCCTTTACATCCGAGCCATGTCTCAAGAAGTTTTGAGTCAGCCCATCAGGATCAAAACCACACATGGCCACGAATCCCGCTTAAGACCACTGAGAGCTTGGTAATTATGAAATTCTGTAAATTTAAAATACTCACTTCCTTTTTAACTTTATGCTCTGCAGCCTGTATCCGTAGCTCCATCTCTTCCTCTAGCTCACTGAGTTGAACTGCTGCTTTGTCCTGAGCTCTAAAATTTAAAAGAACATATTCTCTTAGGAATTGCCCTCCAGCTTGACAGAAACACTATGTGAAACACATCTGCTTACCTCAACTGAAACAAATTAGACAGACAGACATGGAAAGAGTTTAACATTGCCCAGACCTTGACACTGAGGTGGCTGGGAACCTAAATCCCAAATTATTTTGAGGATACTGGCAAATCAGATTKTAAATAATAGCTGCAAGCTGATGATTCACATGAAATACATCACATCTGTATTTTTTAAATTAAGTTACAAAGATAAAAGACACCTCTCGTTACTCTGTGAAGAGACTTCAAAAGCAACTTGCATCACCAACACATACATCTCTCTGTCCTGAGCTAATCTGTTTGGTTWTGGCAGTAATCACAAGAGACTTCAGTGCCAAGTAATTAAAACATGTAAATACACTCCTTGAAGCTCACGAAGAAAAAATACGGTTTCTAAAATGAAAGTATCATGAACACGTATGACAAAACTCAAAGTTGCAGTCAAGAAAGAGGAGTCAAAATATTTGAAGGCATTTAACATAATAATAGAGTCTGCAAAAATGTGGTCCAAACTTATTCAAAGTTAAACAGGTAATCATTTCCATGCTGTTATACATGCTTATGCACAAGTGTGTGYATACAAACTATGTTTTGAACTCAGTTAATGGAAATACTTTGCATGCCTAACATGTTCTGCTATTAATTTTCAGTAGTTTATTCAAATGTATTGCAGGACAAAAYGAGAAACACAATTCACTATACCTTYTTACTGCTATAGCCAAAGTTTCCATCTCAGTGCTTTGAAGTTTGATCTCTTGGATGAAGTTCTTAATGACATGCTCATATGGCTGGATTAATCTTGGTTCTGCTATATGTATATTCTGATACAGAACACTGACCTGCTCTTGCCTGAAAAAGAGAGATATGCACATTTTAATGCAATTACTCGGAACAATGTTCTATTAAAGGTTTGGAAAATTTACTACAAATTAAGATATTCTCCATCAATTTTTAAAATTCAGTAAGCTAGATACAGGCCTTGAACATTAAGTACAGTTTAAATTATTTTWAATTATGTTTACCATTTCCACTTCTTGCTTTAATATAGCTACTTCCAAAAAAAAAAAATTAATCTAATTAAATATTTTTTTATTTCTATTCACAGTCTAGTAAAGAGAATTCTACTGGAGTAACCCASAAGGTATATCAAGTTCCTTGGAAGCTCAAACATTAATTATAACCCATTAAGAAGCCTAGGATTTCAGGAGGTTGCATAAGAATTGGAAACCGGTATGAAAGCAAACTACCTAAGTTAAAATWGAAAAGGGGCAGAGGGAGGTGGACTGTAGGCAAAATGAAAACACAGATCTTCCATTTCAGACAAGTTATTCTTGTCTACAACCAAATAAATCCATCATTATAAGAAGTTAATTCTGTATATGATTCTCACGTGAAAAATGATAGACACATCTCATAGAGATGAAAGGAAACATTTCTGTAGATACTACAGATGTTAGTGGCTTTCCTGAAATTCATACTTAAAAGCCGCCTCAATGCAGGAATAGTTCTGACTTCTATTTGATCTGGACTCATTTACATAGATTGCATACCATTTTAATTGTCAAAGCAGAGAATCTTTACTGGATAAAAAAAAAGAACAGCATAAGAGCCAAACCATTATTACACAGACCACTACATAAATAGCACTGATTTCTGTTCATACTACTAGTAAGTCATGTAAACCCTTTTTCTACATGCCATCTAGATTCCAACTCCTAGATTACATTAGGCAATATACCAGAAAATCTTCTGTAACAGAATTTAGCAGTCCCAAGGAAARCAGAATGTGACTCACATAGACCACATGCTAGAACATGGAAAGTTATTCAAGAACTGAAAAACTGAATGTCAAAAAAGGACCAGAGAAGACCAAGTCTAGAAATGTGGAGGAAGCACAACAATAATGAAGAAATAGACTATCAGAGGCAGAAATGCAATCAAAAATAATGATTTGCAAGTCAAGTTTAACACCATATTGAACACCAGGAATATATGCCGTCTTTTTGTTGCTAATTAAAGCCTGAACTCTGAYTAAATGATCCTCCTTGTCAGACAGGTGATGTCTCCCTGTCTTCAGAGGAGGCAGGGCTATTTAATACCATCACCATACACATGATATCAACAATAAGAGTATATTGTCTTCATGTTTTCCCACTTGAGGCAATTCCAGAGTTTTGATTATCAACACTGCAGCACTCTGCTTCTTTTCTGTCATTTCCCTACCAAAGGTCTAACTTACTTTATTCAAACAGTACCATAACTGTTACTATAGCTCAAATTCCCATTTTAAGTAACTTAACTCCTTCAAGACACTGCAAAACCTTTTTCCAGCTGAAATGCTGACATTTATTTTGAGATACAGAAACTAGGACCAGCACAAGAGATAAAGATTTACTGATGCCAGAGAAATGTCTTTATACATACATATTTTTTTTCTTGATAAGGATTGCCTTTACAAAGTCTAATGCTTACCTGCATTTAGTAAGTGAAGTATCTTCCAATGTATGCCTACAATTCATTTTTCAAAACGTATTTTAAACAGGAATGTTGAGGTTCACAAACAGTAACAATAACAAATAGATTTATCTGTTGATCAGATGCTACAAACTATGTGTAAATAATGCAACATTGAAGAACTCCTCAAATGTACATTTATTCAATTAATGATTTTAATTTGAAAAACTGTTATGACCATTTCCCTTGCCAGCAAGTTTTTGTGCCAAAACAGCACTGACATTAACAGCACCATCAGAAATATTAAAACTAGGAAAGATAAGATAAAATAAAACAAAATTGAAGCCTTAAAATCTGCCTTACTTTTACTCTGTACTATAGCAATATACAGACASAAGTGAGATTTCTGTGCTGATGGGTTTCCTGCACAAGAGAATTTTGGAACWGTTCTGATGATGCTGTGTATCACAAAGCATATCTGAGGTTTGGGTTCATCATACCTCAATTAACTGTCAAATGCACAGAACATTTATAGTATTTAGACACAAGTACATGCAACTGGACAAATAGTTCAATGTATCAAGTTATTATCATTTACAGAGTAAGCTTGAAGCTCATTGTAAACATTACAAAATGCAATCTCTCTGTAGTTTCTCAGTTTGAATTTCCATTTATTTTTGATAGTTGAAGAGTTGCTACCACATGTTACATTTCAAAAATTCCTAGCACTTCAGCAATTGTCCTTCAGAGCTGCAAAYTGCACACCAAAACAGACAATGAACTATTTTAGAATCATTTCAAATTTTAGACAGAAGCAGACACTCTTCATGTCCAGAAATATATGCCAAAGAATGTCACTTCTTCAAATAGTGTAAATACACAGAGTCCTTTAAATTATTTGAATGTACAAAAAAAAATAGGAGAGATGGACAGTTTATTAGTCTCCAAAGCCAGTTATCAGGAGTCCCAGACCTTGGAYGTAAGAGAGAAAGGCTTCTCCCTGGTAACAGAGGGTGGGTTAGAGATCAGCTAGACAGACTTAACACCCATAAAAATCCATGGGYTCTGAYGGGAGATGTTGCTTAGCCAACCTCCATTATCTGTGTAAAATCATGGAGAGCAGCGAAGGAGCTCAATGACTGGAGGAAAGCTGGTGTCACTGCCATCTTCAAAAAGGACAAGAAGTAGAGAAGATGCCAGACAGTCAGTATCACCTCCATACCTGGAAAGGTGATGAAACTGATCATTTTGGAGGACATTCCAAACACAGGATTCACCTAGGGGAAATCCTGCCTGATCAATCCGATACTTTTATGATTGCATGGCAGGATGGGTCAGTGAGGGGAGAACAGKGGATGTTGTCTCKTTTGTCWCTGTCTCCTGYAACAGCCTCACAGGTGAGCTCAGTAAATGTGGGTCAGATGAATGGACAGTGGGGTGGATCGAGAACTGKCCGAAGGGCAGAGCTCAGAGGGATCAGCAGAGCAGAATCCAGCTGGAGGCCTGCAGGCAGTGGCATTCCCASGGATCAATACTGGGAYCAGTCTYGTTCAGCTTGGTTATCAATGGCCCAGAGGGACAGAATGAACCCTCAGCAACTCTGCTGGTGACACTGAACTGGGGGTGTGGCTGATCCCCCTGCAGGCTSTGCTGCCATTCCATGGGACYTTGACAGRCCAGAGAGCTGGGCAGAGAGAAACCCAGTGAGTTCAACAAGGGCAGGTGTGGGGTCCTGCAGCTGGGCAGGAACAGCCCCAAGGCCAGCACGGGCTGGGGCTGAGCTCCTGCAGAGCAGATCTGTGCAGAAGGAGCTGGGAAGCTCCATGGGTCACAAACTGTCCGTGAGTGTCAGTGCCCGAGTGGCCAGGAGGGCCCATGGCATCCTGGGCTGCATCGGGAAGAGCGTGGCCAGCAGGTCAAGATGGGTGATCCTGCCCCTCTGCTCRGCCCTGGTGAGGCACATCTGGAGAGCTGTGCCCAGTTCTGGGCTCCTCAGCACAGTAGAGACAAGGACCTCATGGAGAGGGTACAGCAGCAGATCAAAGATGATTTGGGGCTGGGAAAACCTCTCTTATGAGGACAAAAAATCAAACCAACAAGCCACCAACAAAAAACACAACAGAGGAGAAATCAAAGTCATGCAACAAAATTGACAGGACTACTTAATAACTTATGTTTTCAGGAAGAAGTAACACACTTTCATGAATTGGAAAGACTGTTATTGATTTAGTTACACCAAGAATCCATGATAAATTAGCAGCAGTTATGTGCACTCTGYATCAACATGCAGTAAGTATTGGACGAATATTTGTTCCAAAGTTCCATTTTCATATTTTTAATCATTCCTCTGCTTTCACATGCTCTGATGAATACCTGTGACACTGCTGCAGCAGGTCAATTAGCTGCAATGAATATTGCCCAATCTGTTCGKTTGTTCTCAGTTACCTCTGAACACATGCTATTTTTTTCTGCAATATCATTAGTTATTCAAATTGAATTGTCAAATGGATTTCACCAAGCTGACTTGAACCCGAAACAGTATATCTTTTGAGTGGACAAAAAGTCTTAGCAAAATTCATCGCAAATTCCCAGATTTGCTCTTTAAAGCAAATTTTCTTCCATGAAATCCTAAACTCACATTTCAATGTGAGTTTGTGCATTTAGATGCACACCTTTAWGTTTCACACTAACACAACTGCAGAAATTCATAAATGCTAAAGAACAGAATGCATTTTTTAATATATGGCATGAAAGACTGTCACTGTGTTCGTCAGTGACTAACCACTGATAGTGGTTACACTACCCATCCTGCACACATTTATTTCTGTTGCTTCTGCAAGGTACAGACACAGAACACTAGTACCCGCAAAAAGTATTCCATTGTACTATGGAATACCACGTACTGCTTTGGCTTTACCTTACCTCATCTCAAAGGTTTTACAGCATAAACCATCTGTAAAATTAGTACTTAGTAAGAGTAATTAGTCAATATTTGCACAGCTTCACATGAGTTAACTTAAGCAAAGTTACAGTATTCACTTGGTTTCAGACAGTTCCTGAGATAACTACACAAAGAAAATAAAACTGCTCTGATTATAATACAGTTTCTAATACAACAGATTTTAAATACCATGGTAGAATACAGGAATAGCAGAAGGGGGAGTTGGGGAGGTGGGGGGGAACCCACACAAAAAAAACCCCACAACACTGGTCCTGGAGATATCAGATATTTAGATTATATTGTACCATAACGTCTTTTAATCCACACAGCTGTATTAATCATTACCAATTCATAGTTTTATTTCTGGTTTGCTGATTGTGCAGTGACCGTTTGCCTAATAATCCACATTCTCAATGCAGTTTAGAGGATGATGATGGAATTTTTCAACAAATAA